TATACATAAATAAGTTATGGGATTTGAGGGATGATGACACACCCATTTCATAAATGGCCCTTCTTGCAAAGTACATATCTACAAAGCTTTTTTCCTTCTCTGTATCAAAACTGGCCTCTTCTCTGTGGTCTTCTTAGAAGATGTGACCGTGTAACAAGCTGTGCAATGTTACCTAATTTGTTCTTTTATTTATTCCTTTATTATGTTTTTTATCCCTCTGTATGAATTAAAAATCCTGCATGTAATGAAATAGGTTCCTGACCGTAAACTCTGCCGTGGGGGCTGGTCGTCTCTGAACTGCATGGCTGTTAGTCGCTTTTGTCTTACGTCATTTTGCTTGAAAAGCTGAACCTAACTGATCAAAATTGATGAACCAGAAAATGAAATTCAGCAGGCCTTGTATTTGTGAGCGTATCAAATCCAGCCAGGCACAAAAGACAAATGCTGACTCTTCATATTCTCTCGTCAAATGTATGGTTGTGAAAATGTGCTTCTATACATATTTCAGGCCTTACAGGGAGACACAGATCTATGAAGAACAAAGAAAAGGCATTAGGAATGAATAAGAAGAAATTAGACTTGATTTATTACAGTCATCTATAAAACTGCCATCGTTATTTTTACAAGTTGGGGATTTTAGTTTGGTCCAGTGCAGAAAAATGAAAACTAAATTAACTTTGCTGAAGTTTATAGGGTCCCGTCCTCTTCCCCAGACTTCCTTTTCTTCCTTTTCTATTTGTCAGGCCCAGCCCAAGAACAACGATGAAACAGTCCAGCTGAATACAGTTCCTTTATTTGCTTACACCTTATAGACCGAATCTTGCCAAACTAAATCTATACTAGAGCAACTAGTGGACATACCCTGGGAGACTCTAGGGAGTGGCTATCCTGAATCTCTTACTGTTCTCACACTCCCCCTGCGGACTGTGTTGTCTTTTTCCTCCCTTTCCCACCTGGAATGCACCCCCTCCTTCCTGATAGCCTTGATCTCCCACATCACTCTCTTCCACATAGATACATTCCACCACACTACTATACCTTTTAGGTTATAATTTAATCAATATAATCTGTCCATTGAACAGCAGGACATGCTGTTCTAGTATATGCAAAAAGAGGTGGGCAATCTCCATCCTCCTGGTGACACGCAGCCCCACTATCCCCCACATTTTTGTTTTTTATGTTAATTTTTTGGGGAGGGTCGCATTCCCCACAGAGATCCCTGTGAGCACCATTTGCAAAAATCAGGAACACCGTTTTCCACCAATTTGAGGAAAACAACTCAGTATAGCACAAACCATGAAATAAGATTACCATCATTGCTTTAAAAAAAATATCCACAAATCAGATGGGAAAAAAAAAATCTCACCTAGTTCTATATGCACTAATCTTTCACTCACTGGCTCCTTTGGAGGGGAGAAAGTGAAGAAGAAGGAGACCAATGTAGTTTTAGCCCATCAAAAGATTCCCCAAT